ACAGTAACTAACAAGATAATGCAAATTCTTTTACAATAATTTCAAAAGCACAGGTTATGCCCTATAAAATTACCTTTAGAAATATGCCCGTGGATAAGAATGTTCCCAAGAATTACTCACTGATTATCTGCCACATGTCCAAAGAATTCTTAGTACTCCATGAAACAAAATTAAGTTTTTGAAATATGAAAGTACAGACAAGATCAATTTAACTGCCCTGGATAAGCAACTTCTTAAACGTGTACAGATAGAGATACAATAGCAATAACCATCTTCTTAATGGCAAAAGAAGCTATAAAATAACACATCAGGACACAAGAACATTTTCCTCAAGTTTAGTCACGGTGTCAGTGACTCTTTAACGACCTTCCTTTTCTGCCACCAAATGAGAGGCTGTAGACCCTTTGTACCCGTAAACCACAGAGCAGCTAAGACGAGCATCTTTAAAAAGAACCACTGCACCTGGCAGATGAAGAGAGATACTTATTTCCTTTTCTTCTTTCATATCCCTTCCACTGTGTCCAAGCCTGTTTTCTCACTATTTCCTATTAGCACCTAATCTCTCAAAATGTTTGTGCTTCTCTAGCACTCCCGAAAAAATCATTTCTCCCACCAGGCAGTCAGGCTTTTCTTTGTTGTTTCCAATTCACCCTAATGCCTATTGACTCAAGGAAACTGTCTATTAAGGGCACAGTGAATTAATACGCAAGGGTAGACCACACTAAGGCAATTGTGACTGAGGTTTCGATGGACCCGCCTTCATTTTGACATATGGGTGTGAACAGTATTGTCTGCATGTCAAATGTGGCCTCTCAAGTCATAAAAAGAAAACACCCAGCCTCTTGTGAAGAGAGGCCCTATCAAAGAAGTAGTACAGTTACATGAGCATAACAGCAAACCAAGTTCCACCTCCAACAACACCTGAAGTGAGAGGTGTCCCAATCAGAGGCCATTTCTTCAGGAATTCCTGATCGCCTCATCCCCCCTACCCCACAAAGCAAAGGAAATAACAGGACATTTCTTGCTGTCCTGCAAGCTCATCCTGGCTTTCCCGTCACCTGGCAATGTACCCACAAACCCCGGCTGTGACTGCAGCCCATGTTCGGATGCCCTCCCTCTCTGGTCAGCTCCCTGGGACAACTGTGTCCTGCAGCGTTCACTAGAGCGGCTGAAGTTGTGACACAGGCACCAGAGAGCAAAGGGATGGGAAAATGCCAGTCTGGGGAGCACCAGCGAAACCCATTTCCACACAGAGAACATGGGGAGATAGGCAAGTGAAACTAGAGCTGAAAATGGAGAACACCCTCTAAACCTTGAAAGAGAAGGGCTGCAATTAAGACCCAAAGATTAGGAAGTACGAAAAGAGGCAGAATGCAAGATTTAAAGCCTCATTTCAAATTATGTCAGAAATAAGACCCAAGGCAATTTGAAAGCATACTGAATTTTTAAAATCAGGACATGTACGGTATCATTACTTTTAAAAAGCAAAGAAGTAAAGATACAAACGTGAATTATATTGTTCTCGAAAGTAAAATTCAATAGCCTTCATCAATTTGGTGGGTGGAGAAGAAAGGAATAAGAGGGTGAAAATCGGCCGTTCCACAGTTCTGCTGAGCTACACGGCCCTTTTTTCAAGCTCCAATTCACACTCGTCATGAACTTTCTGAAGCTCATAGTTACGATCCCAGGGTGAACATAGACAACATACACAACAGGAAAAATGTCAAATAAAACATTATTACAACTTTCAGTAGAAGACAGTAGAGAGTACACAGTGCCTGATTCTCTCTCTTCCAGATATTTACATCCTTATAAAAGTACACCAGTCTATACAAAATGACAACCACACATAGCTGCTTCAGAAATTTGTCAGATTTGAGGAAGAAATAATATTAACCAGAGGGCACGTGGAACCACACGGAGAAATTACCAGCAGCTGATGTAAAATTTTACCTCTGAAACAGGGCAGGGCTGGGGAGGAAAAAAATAGAGAGGCTTTGATCTTCCTCCCACTGTTGACCTTTCTTTACCCTCAGGAAGTAGAAAGCCTGTCCCAACCAGAAAATCAGGTGGCTGCTCCCACACAGGGAGGACTTGCTTCATGGTACAGCGGGGGCTTGTCTGGGTGCTTCTGGTTCACTGCTCTCCTTCTATGCCCTCTTGAGATTTTACTTCTATTATAATATGTTATAAACCAACACTGAAGGAATGGAAGCAGACAGGAAAGGAATTCAATCTTGCACCCAGGACATAAAGGGAGTGGCAGATACGGGGAGCGCCCCAAGACCACAGCCCTCTCTGGACTTCAGGTGACATCTGTCATGCACCATTCCTAGCAGCAAAAGTCCAGGTTGATTCAGATCACCCCGGAATATATGCCCTTTCTGACAGCCATGAGATCAAGACACGGAAGCAGGAAATAGCTTTGAGGTCCAGTATTTAAAAACTCAAATGGGTAAATGGGATGTTCCCTGTATTTACCCCAACTGTTTTTTAAAAACTCAAATTACTAAGTTTTAGTTTATGGGTGTTTTACCATAATTGTTTTAACTCAAATTTTTAAAAATCAGGCATTTGTTTAAGGGCTATATGGTTTAGCCTCTCGTGTGGTGTGACCTCTAAGAAGGGGCATTGCTTCTTAGTGGGGACCACAAGGAGTTCTAAAAGTGTCCTAAGTCTGAAGAGCATAAGGCCAGAGACAGGTCTCCTCACATGAGGAAATCTAAATTAAAAACAAGTCCCCCAAAACATAAAACTTATGGAAGATTCTATAACGTAAGGGGAGGCTGCTGTTCTTAAGATGTGAAGAAAAATACTACTTTTAAAAAATATTTACTATAAGAAACATGAAATCTTTAGAAAACATTTGCTTTCATGTTCTCAAGAAAATAACAAATAAGAAATGGAAGGTGAGATTTTAAAAAGTACTTAGGTGTTTTCTAAGATGTAAAATGATGTGTGATAAGGTGAAATCTGAAGAAAAAACTTTTCTTTTGAAGTAAAGAATAAAAATGTAATAGGTTTACTGTTTTAGAGCAAAACAGAGAGCTGACACTTCAGAAAAAATAATTCAGGAACATAAGAGGACAAATTTGAGAAGCCACCCCAGAGGGCAAAGGAAAAGGACAAATAAACTACAATTTCTTTACACAACCAAGTAGGATAGACTAAAATTTGTACCCCTGCTACATAATCAAAATCATATACAATAAAGGAGATATAAAATAGATCAAAACACCGGTTTTTAAAAAACAACAGAATGATATAAATTTTAAAATTTTAATAAAATGAACCACATTTAGGAAAAAAAAAATATGAATTACCTATATTAGTTCAAGAAGTGTGCCAAGCAGAAAAGAAGTATGCCAAAAGAAGCTGAAAAATCCATCAAAGAAGTACCTCAAAAAAAGCCTAGGACCAGATAATTTAATTAGTACATTCTTTCCAAGTTTCCCCAAGGGGCAACCCCAGAAAGCGTAACAAACAGTGCCAGGACTTGAAAAAAGATGGAATGCTCCCAGTTTGTTGGAAAGCGAGGCTACCTGCAGTACACGACTCTGCATAAAATAAAAGCATAGGTCAATATTTTTCTCAAAAGCTTTGTTACTCCAGGATTTCTTAGTGCCTCCAATAGGAGGGTTCTGGGGGTGTTGCTCCTACACCTTAAGATTTCTTCCAGGCTCCCCCACACCCTTATGACCATGCAGGAGCCACACAGGAACCTTGAGTTACGCAATCAGAAGATTAAGATGGCCCAAGAGCCAAGAATATACAGAAGAATATATAAAGGAAAAGGGATTCACAAGCGCTAGAGGAGAAGAAAAGGAAAATATATTGCAATATACTTGCAACAATAATAGCAATGCTGAGGCACAAAACAGTACAATCTGCTGGTGAAATGCAATTGGATTCAACTCTTCTAGGAAGCAACTGGCCCTATGTATTTTAGAACCTAATATGTACTTACTCTTGGACCAAACAGTCCCATTTCTAGCAGTCCGTCCTGAAGAATTCATTTAAGATGAGGATTTACATACAAGAATGTACTCAATAGAATTATTAATAGCAAGCCAAGCAAAACCAAAAACAAAACAGGAAGCAATCTAAATGTCTATCTTAAACTGGAAATAGTTAAGTGGATTATATGGCATATTCATATGATGAATTATGCAACAATCAAAAGCAACGTTTTGGGGAGTAAAATGTAATGATGTCTAATTTTTTAATAAAAAGGCAGAACACCAACTACAAAGTATAATCTTAAGTATATTTAAAATATACATATAGATGATATATGTGTATAAACATACATATATACATATATACACACATACACACACACACACACACACACACACACACACATATATATATGAAAAACTACTAGTAGAATATAGAGCAAAACTTTAATGTGATCTCTGGGTGGTGGGACTCTGAGTATTATAGTTACATTTCTCATATTATCTAACTTTCTGCACCAAGCATTTATGCGTTTTATACTCAGAAAAAAAAAGATAAAAACCAAATAATTATTGCACATAAATACACATGTGAGTGAAAAAGAACAATTTTCAGTCTCCGTTCACTAAGGATAAAACCATTCTTGACATCATACTCAGAATTCCATTCTTCCAAACGGGAATCTTACACCAGTGCACTTGCAAGCATAAAGGCGTAAGGTAAACCGACCAAATCCCTCAAAGAGAGGCTGAGCTGCTTCTCTCAGGGGTTTCCATCACACCATTATCGAGAGGGGAACTCAGCACCCATTTTTTTAAGAGCAGCTGTTTTCGGATCTCCCTTGGTTCCACAAACCTCCACATGGAGGAACGGGCTTTACGGGGGAGACTGAGGGAGTGAGGAGTTACAGGCGCGGGTGTGCACACACACATTCTCTCTCCTTCTCTCTCTCATCCACTCAATCTTGTCCCAGCCAGACAAGTCGAAGCGAAGCCTGCCGGTGCAGCCGCGCCCCATCCCCGCCCGGCAACCTAGGGTACCTGTTCGTGGCGCGCGGTAGCGAGGTCGCCGGGCTCCTGAGCGTTCTCAGCGCGGCGGGGGTGCCGTGGGTGGGCACCCTGCTTTCCTCCACCAAAAGCCTGCACAGCCAGGAAGAAAACTAAGTTGTTAAACCTCGCGGGGAGCAGTTGGCTGGCAGGCGGGGCACCGCGCTCGTTGCCAGGCTGGGTCTTGCCCTTGCGCCCTGGCTCCCCGGGCACCTTCGGAACCCCAGCATCTGAACGAGCTGAGGGCGGGAAGGAAGGGAAAGCACACGACAGGCATGGAGAGCTCTGGACACTGATGCGGAACCCGACGGCAGGACCCGTTCTGCAGCTTCTTTGCCCAGAGCGACGCACACGCTGGGGTCTTCACAACACTGACCGGTCCCTCTCCACCCCAGTTGGTGCCCCTCTGGTACCTCCCACTCACCCAGTCCAGTCTCCTGGACGCCCCCCATCCCACACCATCCTCAGGCCTCCGCGGCTGGTCCTCGCAGCGGCCAAAAGTCTGCGCGCCCAAGTCCGGGCGAATCGGTGGCTGGGGCCCCCCGCGGGCGCACGGCGGGACACACAGAACCCCCGGTCACCCCGAGTGCAGCAGGCAGGTTACCTGGGGCGGGCGGGCTCATCGGTCGAGCTCCAGAGCAGGCGTAGCAGCAGCAGCAGGCTAGCGAGCAGGGCGAACAGCGCGCCCCCCGGCCGCATCCTGAGCCACAGGCGGTGCCGCCGCCGCCGCTGCCCTGGCGACGCGCAACCCGGGCGGCCCCGACTCGCGGCTCCTGCCGCGGCCGCAGTCGCCACAGCGGCAGCCACGCACACCTCCAGTGTTCACCAGCGGTGGGAGGGGAGACAACAGCGCGCCGCACGGCCCGCACTCTCGGGCGCCCCCCAGCCCGCCTGCACCGTCGTTGGGGGCCAAGGAAGATGCTGCGTCCCGGCTCTAAGGCGTCTCCCACCCAGTCCTGGACCGCCGAGCTGGGCGCTCGGGTGGCAGTGACGATGCGCTGAGCTCGCCTCCTCTCTTCCCAGAGGCGCTCCGAGCTGCTGCGGGCTCTGGTCGCTGCCGCTACTGCCGCTGCCGCCGCCGTCGCCGCGCGGGGTCACCTGAAGGTTGGGGCGCGGAAGCTCAACTCGGTGCTGATTGGGCTCCAACTTTTCTGCGCTCTCACCTGCTCGTGAGTGCCCGCGTGCCCTTCCCCGAAGCCCACGCAGCCCACCCAGGCGCACCACAACTCGGTTCACGTCCCCCTGCGGTTGAGAGCGAGGGCTGGGAGGGGCGCAAGAGGAGAGAATCAAGTGCCCAATTCACAAACTTTGACAACTGTGCCGTGGCTCTGCCGAGTTGTCCCACGCATGAAGGCTGCGAGGAACTTGGCAGTTGTTGGGTAGCTCTTGGTACCGGAATAGAAGGAGTAACTTCCGGAGGCTTACAGGCCGATTCAAAGGCACAGAGAATCGATTTCCAGGGTCAGGCAATTTTTAAGGGTTGGCAAACTACCGCCGTTAGGCCGAATTTGGCCCCTGCCTGTTTTTGTAGTTTTATTGGAACACCTCCATGCCCATTCTTTGTATAATCAATGGCTGTGTGGCTCTATTATCTATGGCTGCTTTTGCGCTACAAGGAGAGAGTTGACAGTGGTGACAAAGATCATATGGCCCACAAAACCTAAAATATTTATGATCCCTTTTCAGAAAGAGTTGGCAGAATTCATCTAAATCATATTGGGCTAGGTCCTGTTGGTTAGCATCTCATTTATTAGTATTTCATGCATTTCAGGAGAATGATCCAATGACAGTGTGATATAGTCTGGCCCCCTAATTATTTATTTGGAAGTGGGCCTCTCCTCTCTCAGCCCTAAGCTGTCCTGCCCGCATGTGTGGCCCACCGACTGCCCAACCTCCCACTGTGCAACCTCCCCAGGTTTTGCCCTGACTCTTGAGAAACATCAATAAACCATAAACCTCATAATGTTTATATGGGGGCTCATTAGACTATTCCATCTACTGTAGTATGGATTTGAGATGTTTTTCAAAAACAACCTTTGGACGCTAACATCTTGTGAGTACCTCAATAATGGTACTTTTAAAGGCTTTAATGAGTTAACTTTCCCAAGTGTAACAAAATATTTCTATTTCAACTGGAGTTTCCTAGAGGCATAACGTCTTAACCTGGAAGACCAATGCGAGGGCCTTTTGGAGAGCAAGTAGGCAGACAGCTCAATAAAGCTGTTGCCAGTAATTCTGTCACTGGAAAAAAAAAAAAACATCAAGAACAGGGGGGAAAAAACAAAACAAAACAAAAAACTGCCTAGTTCCTTTTTGCTAATTCTGTATTTGCTCATTAAAACTATTTGGTTGAAAACATACCATAGCTTTGCACATAGTTGATCTATAAATGTTAGTCAACAAATAAAACACCTCAGAGCTAATGCTATTCTTAAAGAGAAAGGAGCAAAACATTGAAAATAAATGTGGCTAGAAAGAAGATTTCTCCCATAGCTCACTGTTGTTGTTAAAATATGTACTAATCGATAAAGGAAAAAGTCACTACTTTTATGTAAGACTGACATTTTTAGGGACCCAGCTGCTCAGCTGAGTATGGTATAATAAATGAATGCTATATTCAGTGCTAAACTAATAAAGTAATCCAATACTACATGTTTGAAAGTTTAAGCATTCTGTTAAATAAGAGGATATGGCACAACTCAAAATGAAAAAGTTGTCTAGATGTAGAAGATAGTCCACATGAAAAAGTTGTCTGGATTTGAAAGATAGTTTGAATTTTATTTCTCTTAGAGCAGAATTGTGCAGACAACTCACACTGAAAATGGTTTGCAGAAAAAGAAAAGGGCATTATTGTATCAGTGAGGAAGCTGCAATTTCACCTAATTTACTAAAGTTTAATATTTTCAGCACAGCTGGGCTCAAGGCAACAGAAGAGACAGCCTTGCACTGGGCTCCCTAAACACCCTCGCTGAAAATGAAGTAACTTTTTATCAAGCCAATGGCTATCAGCAGGGGACTCACAGAAGGCCATTTTAATTGGAAAACCAAGTGTAAATTTGCAATGGGAGTTCTGAACCACATGTTGAAATTCGACAGTAGGGAACTTTACCACAAGCTTTGTAATTTAAGACTTGGGTTGGTAAAATATGAAGTATCTTGCTTACCCTTAAGAGAAAAAAAGAACTCAACCAAAACACAATTCCTTAAATGTTATCAGCCACTGAAGCAATACTGGAATACTATGCATTTGGTAACAACTGTGCAGGTTTGAACAGGACCCCAAAGATCTATGCCATGTAGTAATTTGAGATACGAAATGGAAACAGAAACTCAGCCGGATGGTCAGAAGCCCAAGCCCGTGTGTGAACTTTACCTCATTTACCCAAACTCAGTTCAGTATTTGCCCCTCACTTTCATAAAATAACTTTTTAAAAAAATGACTGGGAAGTTTTGATACATAAAAAATGTCCAAGTAATTAAAAAATTTTCCTGGAAATTGAGGTTTCTCATTTTTGGTGTAAGGTTTTAAACAGTTCCATATGCACAGATTTGGGGGACTCATGAAGAAGAATCCCAGATATCAAGTGTCTACTATATGGACGAATAGAAACTCTCAATGTAAGAAAAGGAAGGGGTGTCATTCAAAACACAGAAAATGGATGCACCAAAGAATCTTTTTCTTCATTTGGGTGACATTTTTTTTTCTTTTTGGGTGACATTTTTATATCCATGTCTAGAAAGAATGGTTGCTGATGTCTTGAAGCTGTTTGACTGGTGTTGGTAATACTAGACAGTTGTGAGGACTGCAGGACAATAGCACATTTATAAATATTGATTACTCCTTGGGGGAGGAAATTCATAAACATAGTTTCAATAAATAAAAGTAGAAATAACTTCAAGAAATCAATAGCCTTCTATGGGGAGTATGTTTTCAAATATATTTTATTCAAATTAGATTTTTGCCCACGGCTAATTGAATATTAAAAAAATTGAAGCAATTCCATGTATAAAGTAGTTTTAACCTTCAAGATCAAACACCTAGGGTGATATACAAATTTCATGTAGGTCTTATGTATAGAAGAAATCCAATTTGTAGCATAACAAAATTATAGAACAAAAAATAAGTTACCATTCACATTATAGATTTTTAATGTATCAGCCATTCAAACTTCTAAAATTCCTCTCCCTGAAGTCCACTTAAAAGATTATCAAGGACCAAAAAGAGAAATGGAAACGATTTATCCTGAAACTATAAAGTGGCCACAATCCCATTCCACAAACTGCAAGGATGTCTGCTAAATGTGAACCAATCGGACAAGAATGCCAAGTTCAAGACTCATCTCCCTTACTTATTACCTTAGATTTATGGGAGGAAAATGGAAAAGTTTTTGAAGGCCCTACCAATCCTCAATTTGGAAGAGCAAAGGCTAGAAGTAGGTCACAACAAAAATGAGTAATGCTCAGAGTGTATGGCCAGGGTTACAGAGTTAAAGGAGAGATGGTAACCAGTATTTCTGTTTTCAGTGAATTCAGTTATCTACCCACAGGAATGATGACCTAGAGATAATGTTAATCTTGGAGAGAGAGGCTACAAAAGAATTTTGCAGCTACTGATTAAAGAAAATATACCAAAGAATAGAGCACCTAATCTACATATTTAATAAACAAAAGTCCCTTGAGCCATTGCTTTTTATACTGAATTGGCCTCTGCCACCACCATCTCCTGCCTAATTCCAGATTTTGCAAGACCAGACAGAACTATAATTCTTTCAACAGTTCAGAGGCTAAGGATTGTGTGTACAGAGGTAATATACCCAAACTTGCCATATTTCTCTTCTCGGCCTCTCTTCCCCACCTCTTCATTCCTTACAACCTAAACTATAAGCAAATAAACACCCAATAGCAAGCCCTTAGTGCAAAACTAAGTTCCAAAAAACTGGCAAATTAAAAGAAAGGAGAGCTGAAGATTTTCTATTCACAACATTCCTGGTAAGTAGCAGAAATCAACAGGCATGACTTCTTTCAAAGATAAGCAAGCAAGCAAGCAAGCAAGCAAGCAATAAATAAATAAATAAATAAATAAGATAAAGGAATGTAACCAATAAAAAGGCAAATGAAGAATATATGTTGGAACAAGACTTACTCCAGGAAACAGCAGAAAATTTAACCACAAATAATTTCCTACTACCTACGTAATGAAATATAATATAAACGTGACAGAAGAGCCCAGAGAAGAAAAAAGAACTGTAAGAGATAGCAAAGCAACAGGATGAAAAGTGAGCTGACAGCAGTAAAAAAATAAAACAAAATGAGAAAAACATTGCAGAACTTAGAACAATCTAAGAAGCCTGGGGACCAGAATTTTGATGGCAAGAATCTAACTCAGTGTCATAGAGATTAGGCTGATGAAAATGGCAGAAAATACAAAGGAAAGAGACAAGGAAACTACACTGATTAATAAAACAATTATATGTACCCAAGACATATTAGATATATATCACATAAAATATTAGGTACTCTTTTTTAAAGCATAAAAATGAAATATTAAAAACATTTAAGGATATAATAGGAGAAAACTTTTCTGAAACAAAGAAATATGTGAATCTGCAGATTGTTTGTTCTCATTATCTGCAATCATTACATGAATTCATGGTTCTCCAGAAAAATTTAATAGAGAACAACTTCAAAATTTATCTTCTTGCAGAGATTGTTCAAAGAAAAAGAAAGAATCCTAAAAGCGTCCAGACAGAAGAAACAGGTAAAATTTAATCTTGCTTCTGACTTCACCTTAGCAACATTAGACTTAAAAAAA